CAACACGACCGCCAGCACGATCACCAGCACAACCACCAACGCGACCAGCCACCAGCACGACCACCAGCACAACCGCCAGCACGACCACCTGCACGACCACCAGCCCAGCACGACCACCAGCACGACCACCAGCACGACCAGCCAGCAGCACGACCACAAGCTCGACCACCAGCACTTCCCAGCACGACCACCAGCACAAGTACCAGCACGACCACCAGCACGACTGCCAGCACCTCCACCAGAACGGCCAGCAGCACGACCACCAGCACGACCACCAGCACGTCCACCAACCACGACCACCAGCACGGCCGCCAGCACAACCACCAGCACGACCGCATTATGGGCACACGGTCGGTCGAAATAAAGCAGTGCGAGATCACACCGGTAGGTATGATGATTATTTATTTTATTTTCTATGCTAACGATATCGCCGGGGGGGTTACTGTTTGCTTCGTAGGGTTGAATTGTGAGAGGTCCTGGCGGATCTCGTGGGTTGGAGGAGGAGGCGGAGGAGGGGGAGGAGGAGGAGGAACAAGGAGGAACAAGGAGGCGCAAGGAGGAGGAGGAGGAGTAGGAGGAGGCCTCCTGGCTGCGCCTCTGGCGCGCTTCGCGCACCAGGGAAACAGTTGTTCCAGCGCCGACCGGAGAGACCGTGCCGACCTCCGAGAGTGTATGCTAATGTCATGTTTCCTTCCTTTGTCGTGGGCTCTCTACTCTTTGGAGGTCGGTGCTGGTGAAGGTTGGGAAGCCTCATCCTCTCATGATGAGTTCTGGTGCACGGGCCATCCCCACCGAAGTCGCAGGAGGAGCATCTCTGTGATCGAGGCTTTGAGTGCTCTGGGTGAACAGTCGGTTTCTGGAGTGCTCTTGGCGATCTTTCCGCTTAGGTTTTGGGTGCTCTTGGTGATCTGTCGGCTTCTGGAGTGCTCTTGGCGATCTTTCCGTTTCTTGGGGGTATCCAGAGGCTTCTGTAAACCTCCGAGGGCCCCCTGCATGGGGACTTCGACCTCCTCCAGAGGAGGAGGAGGAGCGGGGAGGAGTGGGAGGAGCTCCTTGCTTCTGCTGGGGGCGAAATGTGGCAGCATCGAAGCACTCGCAAACCCTCGACGGGCGGAGTTGAGACACGAGAGGTCGCCATCCACACCTCGAGAGCGTCATGGCGAATGCCGACGCCCGTGCTTTCTAGTTGTTGTGCGCAGGGAGTGGCGAAGGCCATGCAGAACCTCTCTCCACCCCCTCCTTCCCTCCTGCCTCTAATCGTCCTCCTTCTCCTGCTCTGCCTCCTCCCTGATGCATGCAATACCCTCCACACCTCGTCCTATTCCTCCTTTTCCTCTACCTCCCTCTTGCCTCCACAGCGCCGCCACGAATCACGGCGTGAGCCCTAGATCTGCGGCACCTTCTGAGACGGCTTGGTATGCGAGGTTGAGTGGGTGTTGGGGAGGAGGAGGTGGAGAAGAAGGAGGAGGATGAGTAGATGTGGGTGATGGGGTGGTAGATGGGTCAGATCAAGATCACACGCTGTGTCTGGAGCTTTGCAGGAGGAGGAGAAGGAGGATAAGGGAAAGGAGGTGCGGCACCAGTGGGAGCGGGGGGAAAGGGGAGGAGGAGGACGGGAACGGAGGGGGGGGGGGGGAGGGGGGTGTGATTATGAGGAGAAGGGGGGTGGAGGCAAAGGGAGGGACCGATGATAATGAGGAGCAGGCGGAGGAGGGGGGAGGAGCAGGCGGAGGCGGAGCGGAGGCGAGGGCGGAGGCGAAAGGAGGAGGAGGAGGGGAGGAGGAGGAGGAGTAGGAGGCGGAGGAGGAGGAGGAGGGGGAGGAAGGAGGAGGTCTTTGGAGACCCCCAGAACGTCACATGGGGCCACTCACCTCCAGCGGCTTCGACCCGCGACCCTCGAGGGGGAGGGGAAGTGCAGTGGAAGCCCATGCCGAGAAGCACGCTGCTTGCCTCCAGGGTCCTCCCTCCTCCTCCTCCTCCTCCCCCTCTTCCTCCTCCGCCTCCTCCTCCTCCTCCTCCTCCCGGCCCGAAAAACGGCTCTGCCTCCAGGGTGCCCTGGGTTCGTTGGGCTCCGATGGTGTTGCGATGGGCAGCGTGACGCTCCCACACCAGACGCCAGTGGACGTCCTGGGGTCTCAGGGTTGGGTTTCTTGCGGCAGGTTTCTCGTGGTCGAGCTCCTGCTGTACCCCACGGTTCAAGATGGTGCCCCCGCGGCCGTCGGCCGCCGCCTGCATTGCTGCTGCTGCCCCTGGTATGGGACCGTCGGTGATGCTCTAAAGGTGGGGCGGTCGGCGTGGCATCGCTCGGACTTTGCATGTTGTCCTCGGCGAGGACCATCGAGGAGCATCTTGGATCATCTGGCGACCAATAAGCGCATGAAATTGAAACATGCACGGGGAATGGACGTCCGAGCGATGGCGGTCAGTGCTGCTCTAAAGGTGGGGCGGTCGGGCGCCGAGCGCCAGCGCGGACGACCGTGGACGCCGTGAGATCGCGCCTCGAGGGCTGCGTCCTCCGAGGCACGGGTCGGTCCACAACCGCCGCCAGGCGGATCGATCTTCGGGTGCCTGGCTCGGCAGGCGGTGGATGTGGATGTTTTCGAGCTCCCTGGGGCCCTCGTCCCTATACGTAGGTGTATATATACACATTCACGCTACACTGCAATGGCGCTTTGCGTCATGCACCTTGGTCCTTGAAGTTGGGCACGCAGGCGGAAAGGGCAGGAAGGGAAAACCGAACATATAACGATAACTCCTGCCTTTTCCGACATCGTCGTTGCAATACTGTTATTCAGTATCTGTCCCTCATGCTAATTCTTCCTTCTTCGCATTCTCGCCCTTTTACCCACCCTCGCGAGCTCTGTTCTCGGAGGCTCTTCCTTGGCGAGTCGCTTGGTGACCTCACGAGTTTTTGAAGGGCTTCTTGGGGCCTTCTCTGGAGGCCTCCTGGACGCCTTCTGGGGGCCTCTGGGGGCCTTGCTCGGGCCACTCTGCTTCCGACCGCGGTCTCCCTGGACGGCCGGGTCACGATTTGGAATGGAGGCCCTTTTGGGTAGTTGTGGGGCGACTTTCGGGCCTCCTGGGCTGGGCGGTCTCGCACGCCCGGGAAACCCAAGAACAGAGCACTCCCCAAACCATGCAAGAACCATGGGACATCAATCAATGTTTTCGTGTTCGGAGACCTCTTGAGGGTTTTCTTTGGGTCGTCTTCGGGGAGTCTGTTGGGTGTCTGGGGCCTGCTGGAGCCCTCGCGGGGCTGTTCGGCCGCCCTGCTCACCGACTCGGGTCCGCTGCCCTGGCTCAGCAGGGGCTTCAGGGGGCCCGCGGAAGTCGTCTGGGGGACCTTCTGCAGGAGCGTCCAGGGGGCCCGCGGAGCCACGCATCCTGGGGGGGCCGGTTTTTTTGGGGGGGCGGGGGGCCCCACCCCCTCGAAGATGGAAAAGGCGCTACGCCCACAGCAAGCGCCCGTTGGGGTTCCAGGACGTCGGCTCCCCGGGCGGTCTACATGGACAACTCCCCGCCTCGCACGTCAGCCCCAAGGGGAGGCTCGTGCCTCGCCCGACCGTGCGCGCTCGCGCCTGAAGGTCTCCGCCTTGAAGCGGCCGCGCGTGCGCGCCAGCGCAAGCGCGCGCGAGCGCAGCGCCGTCGTCGCCGTCGCCGTCGCCGTCGCCGTCGCCGTCGCCGTCGCCGTCGCCGTCGCCGTCGCCGTCGCCGTCGCCGTCGTCGTCGTCGTCGTCGTCGTCGTCGTCGTCGTCGTCGTCGTCGCCGTCGCCTCCGCCGCTTCCCTTGCCCAGGCGGGGCTATAGGATCAGGATAAGTCGCTCCACAGCGCTCCGGAACGTTCTAAGAGTTATCTGGAGCTCTCCAGAACGGCCGCGGCGCCGGAGACATCCTCCAGAACCGCCGGATCTCAGAGGTCCTCGATTTGTTCCAATCGGATTTTGTCCCGGTCTTAGCTTCGTCTTAGTTGTCGTCGTCGCCGCCGCAGCCGCCGTTCGCGTTGTCGTCGGCGTCGTCGTCGTCGTCGCCGTCGCCAGCGGTGTCGCGCGGCGGCGCGGGAGCGCGCGGGCACACTCGTGCGGAGGCCGGCCACCAGATGGAGGACTGGAACGCGAGGCGCGCGGGCCGCGGCTGGCGGCTGGGGCCACGCTTGGCCGCCGCACCTCCCAGTCGGGGATTGCGAAAGGTGCCCCCGGCCCAAGGAGGGGCCCCTGGGCTACCTGGGCCTCGTGAGGGGTTCTGTGGAGGCCGTGGGGGCATCCGACACCGACCGCAGAGGAGGAAAAGGTACCAGTACTGCTGCCCCTGCCTCGCTTTTTGGGGCCTCGTGGGAGGCTCTCGTCGCCACGGCTGTATTCGCTTCGGAGTTCTGGTCACAACGCACCCCAGGAGAGGCCCAGGGAGTTGCTGTCTCGGTAGGTGTTGGTTTCCCCAAGACCCCCTCGCTCAGCGTCGTCTCACCCATCATAGTAGATCAGCACCACCAGCCCGCCTTCCCACAGGTTAGGGGTTTGGCCCAGCGAAGCCCGAAGGCACAGGCATACATCCTCACCCGGGTGGGCAAGGCGGCCAACGGGGCCAAGGCCACGACAGTTGGGATAGGGTTCGGCCAAACGATGCTTACTACCGCCGCAAAAAATCCGCGACGGAACAATTTTTGCACCTTTCGGCTCCAAGGGTGGGGCCTTGCTCGGCCCCGGTGCCGTCAACAAGTGGCTCGCGGTATTGGAAGCCGGTCCCGGGGAAGGGGTCGAGACTTACTCGGGTCCATGCTGTGCAGATGTCATAACGTCGGATGTCTGGGCCGCACATCCTCTGCGCCCTGCGCGCGGCAGGCGTCGCGTCGCCGCGGACTCCGCGCGGACGGTCACCACCCACCAAACCACCCCAACCCAACCCGAATGCCCAAGTTGACCCTCGATTTCCAGTTGGGGGTGGTCGGGAAACATCGGAAAAACACAGAACCCGTACCCCCCCAACCCAAAACTTGGGTCTTCGGGTTAGGCTGGGGTGGTCTGGTAGGCAGTCAGAAGGTGCGCAAAGTCGGTGCCGAGGGTGTGCCGACAGCGGTTCAGCGAGGTGCTGTATCCTTTGAGGGGTGGGGGGCGGGCCGCGGGGGTGTCCTCCAGCGGCTGCGCCCTTGGAGAGAGCCTTTGAGGACATCTTGATCGTCATGGGCGGCCTCGCGCGGCCCGAGCTCGGGCTCTGGGGAGGGAGGGAGCAGGGCCCTCACACACGGGCGTCCTGATAAGAAATGAGCGAGCGTTATCGCCACGGTTCGGGCTTCGGAGCCGCGCCCTCACAGAGCGACCCTGTTCTAGGCAATTGTGCAGAGATCGGGCCGATTAGTCTGATTGTGCTTCTGCTGCGCGTCGCAACTTTCGTCTCACAGTATCAGATGTCAGGGGTTTCAGGGTGGTGGTGGAGGAAGGGAGGAAACCCAAAAAGGAGAGGGATGGGGTGGTGCAGGGGGAGGCTGTGGGGATCGGGGTTTAGTGGGATGGAGGGGGAGGGGGGAGGGCGGGATGGAAAGGAATGGGGGGGGAGGAATGGGGACGACGGCGGCAACGGCGACGGCGGCGACGGCTGCGGCGGCCATGGCTGCGGGCGACGTCGGAGTTTGCGAGGCTGACGCAGAGGCGGCGACGGCAGCTGCGAGGACGGCGGCGACGACGACGACGGCGGCGGCGGCGACGACGGCGGTGGCGGCGGTCGTCAGGCAGATCAGCGCCATGACCGCGCACAAGCACCGCCTCGGCCAGACGTCCCACGTGCTCGAGTTCGTGGCCGAGCACGGCCAGGGCGGGCGGCGGCCCCAGCGGCCTGTGCCGGCAGCCGCCGGCCGGCAGAGAGATGGGCCACGACGGCGCCGGCGGGGCCCCGAGGAGGGCGGGAAGCGGATCGCGAGCGGAGCCTTCCCTGCCCGAGGTCCTCGCCCGCGGGGCCCCGCCCCTCCGAGGCGGCCGCACCCCCCGAGCCGCCGGCGGAGGGCCGCGGAGGAGGAGGAGCCCCGGGGCCCCGCGCCGCGGGGGGTGGGCTCGGCGCGTGCCGCCCGCGCGCCTCCCGGGGGTCGGGGAGCGGGGCCGTGGGGGGGAGGCGGGCCGTGGCGGGCCGTGGCGGGCCGCGGCGGGCCGTGGGGGGGGGGCGGGCTGCAGCCGCGGAGGGGGGCGCGGGCGCCTCGGAGGGGGCGGTGGGCCTCGCGGGGGGGGGGGCGGGAGGGGCTCAGCCAGGGCGCCGCCGCAGGCCCCTCGGAGAGGCCCGCGGGTGCCCCTGCGGGTGGCCCGCCCGCCTGGTGCGCAGGGAGGGGGCGCCGCGACCAGCGGGCGGTGTTTCGCCGACGGCGCCGTCGCGGATCGGTCCAGCTCGAGAGTGCCCCCGGCCAACGTGCCCCCCAGCTTTTCTCGCTCCACTTTGAGGCGCCTGGGGCCCTCCGGGCCTCGTCGGGGGGCCTCCCTGGATTGGACCTCCTGGGGGCACCTTGGGCCAAGGGGGACCTTTCTGGCACCCCCCGAGGAGAGGCGAAGCCCAGCGGTGGGGCGGGGCGCTCGTGTCGTGCAGCGTCTGTGTGCTCTGCGGCGTCGGGCCCGGGGGAGCGGGCAGGCGGGGCGAGCGGGGCGGCCCCCCTCCCCCAGAGGGGCGGGCGGCCGTGCTCCGCCCCCCCCACCTCCCCCCCCAGGTATGACGGGTAGCCTGTTCGAAGTGCAGCTGCTCTGACTATTGTGCAAGGGTGTCTCGCCTTTCTCTCGGCTGCGGTGCATTGGCGTAGATTGCGGTGAATTCCTGACTTGCCAGGGTTCGGTGCAGCACGCCCCCTGTGAAATAGCAAAACTACATCTTACTCCGCTTCGCCGACTCTCATTTTGTTGGCAGAGTATTGTGAATACTGGAAGGGTTGGGTCCAACTGATCCTTGGAGGCTCTGTGGCTTCTTCGTGGTTCGCCTGGAGAGCATCGGGGTGAGGTCTTCTTGCGCAGTGCTCGACGTCCGGAGAGGCTGCTTCCGGGCCCTGGCACGCTCCAGGAGGCGGCACGGGATGAGGAGCTTGCCCTTGGGAGCCGCCCCAGCGGGAGCTCTTCGCCCCGAGCCGTTCTGGGACTTCGTGCTGGGCCAAAGCGCGGCGTCGGAGGCCTGGGCTCCCGCAGCTCCCGAGCGGCGCGGGACGGGGGCGCGTTGAGAAGGCTGTCCCCCCGACTCTGGCGCGACGCCAGGAGGAGTCGCGGGCAGGGGCTGTGGGTGGCTGGGCAGCCACCCGGGGCCAGGGAGTTCTAGGTAATAGGTAACTGCGCCCTGCTCGGGCCTGACGAAAGGGGGGGGAGCGGGAAAACGGCATCAGCTGCATGCAGCTGGTTTCCGCCCCTCCGCCGGGCCCATTCCTTGGTACTTGGGTGCCTCCCGGCGCCAGGAGGCGCCAGTAACACCAGGCACGCGAGCTGATTCTCTGCCTTACCCTTTGCTATCCTACCCTTTCGCCCCCCCCGTTGTAAGTACGCCAGGCGGGGAGCTGCGTTCTGCCAGCGAGGATGCCAGATGTACTTCGGCCCAGGGGGAGTTCTGCTGACCCGGTAAGAGGAGGCAGAGGCGGGAAGGAGGAGGGGGGGCGGGGGATGAGGAGGAGGAGAAGGGGGACGACGAGGGGACGGGACGGAGGGAGGGGAGGAGGGAGGGGAGGAGGAGGAGGAGAGGAGGGAGGAGGAGGGGAGGAGGAATAGGAGAGGAGAAGGAGGAGGAGAGGAGGATGAGGAGGAGGAGGGAGGAGGAGGAGGAGGAGAAGGAGAGGAGGAGGAGGCGGAGGCGGAGGCGGAAGGGAGGGGGAGGAGGAGGAGAGGAGGGAGGGGGAGGAGGAGGAGGAGGAGGATGGAGGAGGGAGGAGAGGAGGGAGAGAGCGGAGCAGCAGGAGGAGGAGCAGGAGCAGGAGGAGGAGGAGAGGAGGAGGAAGAGGAGGAGGAGGAGGAGACCAGTGCCAGAGTCGAGCCGTGAGGCGTGGGCTCAAAGTTAGGGGGTGGGGCCATTGAGAGACTCTCGCACTCTCGAGGTCCACGTGCGCCGAAATAGGATCCTTTGTGACTGCCCGAGCGGGGCGAAGGAGCCCTCATCCATGCGCCTGGTGCTCCTTCTGCTCGTTCTTGCGCTTCTGCTGCTGTCGTTTTTTTGTCCTCCTCCTCCTCCTCCCCCTCCTCCTCCTCCTCCTCCTCCTCCTCCTCCTCCTCCTCCTCCTCCTCCTACTCACCCACAGCGTGGGCGGCGCCCCATAGGTCTCGACCCCTTCCAGGGGGCCGGTCTTCCATCCCGAGTCGGTTTCTGAAAGTCCCGTGGCCCGGGGTGGCCCGCGGAGGCCGAAGCGGCCATGATGCGAGGAGGTCGTTCTCCACCGCCCCTGCTGCCCCGCTTTGCCTGCCGCGCCCCCGCGCCTGTCCGAGGCTTGGGCTTCAGTGGACGTCGGCTGCAGGCCCCCGCATCATCCTTGTCAAGGCCGGATCGCGTCGGTCTCTCTCAGAAGGGGGGGATGGTGCAGGTGGTTGCGGTGACAGGCGCAGCCTGCGGAGCCATGAGGAGGAGGAGAAGGAGGAACCGGAGAGAAAAGGGGAGGAGAGAGAGGAGGAGACGAGGAGGAGAAGGAGGAGGAGGACAAGGAGGAGGAGGAGGAGCAGGATGATGATGATGATGATGATGATGATGATGATGATGATGATGATGATGATGATGATGATGATGATGATGATGATGATAGTGCTGATGATGATGATGATGATGATGATGGTGATGGTGATGGTGATGGTGATGATGATGATGATGATGATGATGCTGATGCTGATGCTGATGCTGCTGCTGATGCTGATGCTGATGCTGCTGATGATGATGCTGATGCTGATGCTGATGCTGATGCTGATGCTGATGCTGGTGCTGATGCTGATGCTGCTGCTGCTGATGATGATGGTGAGGATGGTGAGGATGGTGAGGATGGCGATGGTGATGATGATGCTGCTGATGATGATGATAATGCTGATCATGATGATGGTGATGCTGATGCTGATGATTCTGATGATGCCGCTGTTGGTGACGATGCTGGTGATGATCAGGATGATGTTGTGGATGAGAATGATAATGATGCGAATGATGATGACGATCACAACGACGTTGATGATGATTATGCTGCTGCCGCTGCTGACGATGCTGATGGTGATGATGTGGATCATGATGTTGATGATGCTGATGCTGATGACGATGATGATGCTGCTGCTGATGATGATGCTGATGATGATAATGATGATGATGCTGATGATGATGCTGCTGATGATGCTGATGATGATGGTAATGATGACGCTGATGTTGGTGATGCTGATGACGGTGACTATGGTGATGGTGATGGTGATGGTGATTTGGTGATGATGATGGTGACGCTGGTGTTGTTGGTGATGATGGTAATCATGGTGATGCAACAGTTCAGTCGGGCATCTCATTTTACATGATGAATATTGAAAAATGATGGAAAATAAGATTGTGGTGATTTTTCATGCTATGTTCAAAGTATTCCCAAGATCGTTTGGACATAGTTTTCTGGATACTGGCTAGACGAACGTACGATGCACGCGGATGGAAGACACGATGCGCCGTGTGGCGCCACCATTATTTGTTTCACCGCACTTGGTGGCGGCAGCGCGTGCTACCGCCTTTTAGCAGAGGCGTGCGTCTATGGCAATGTGGTTGGTGTAGCGTGTACAATGAGGGTAAACCGCGCGCTGCCATCGTGGACTGGCGTGGCGCTGCGATTAGATTTGCGCGCAGCGTGAGCAATTCGACGAGTACCCTCGGGGCAGCCGACAGTGGCCCTGCAGATTGGGGTCCCCGCTTTTTTTCCAAATTGTTACGCGCATCCACAAAGTCAGCCCGATCAGTCATTGTGGCCGCTGGCATTCAAGATCTCGCTGCAAAACTCCAGTCTTCCCCCCTCGGTACCTCTTCGCTCCCGCGCGCCATCCTTGTGCATCCTCCCCACCCTACTCCCTTTCAGTAAGGGTGGCGCGCATAGACCGGCGCTTCCCACGTTCGGCCATTGGGTTTCTTTCGACAGTCACGCGGGGTATACTGCGGGAGGGACAATCCTGACCGGACAGGGCATAACCCCTTTGATGCCATCACAGAGTAGATGCGAATGGAGTAGCAGTTGAGTGGGCTGGAGGTTGTCCGTGAATCAGGTTGATTGCAATTGGGCGAAGGATAAGCTTCAAGCCGGTCCGAGGAGGGCAGAATCGGAGCCGGCGTACACATGCCAAATCGACCTTCACCACTTCTGACAAAAAAGGGAAGAGGCTTGCATGTGCCGTTGGAGTGGGGTAGAGTAGATGAGGGCGCAATTTGGCGTGTGTGTGTGGGGGGGCAACGTACGATTGGGGCTACATGTGCACGTGTGCATGTGAACTTTCCAGCGCAGCAGCGTTTATTTTTATCCGTCGGATCGGCAAGGTGGTCGCGCGGATCGCATGGAGCCGGGTGTAGGGCGCACTCAACCAGGGCAAAGCAATATGCCTACTTACATACGTGTGCGAATCAATACACATATTCATATGCGCAGATCGGTGGGCCCGGTGCTTGCGTAGTAAAGCAGGGCCGGGGGCCTGCGGCGCGCCCCGATCGTCGCCGGCGCCGCCGGGGCGTCCAGAGTGCAGACAGGCGCCGTCGCCTACGCAGCAGTAGTGCTTCGGATGCCCAGAGCGAGAGTCCGACATACCCCGTGAGTTAAAATACTCCAGCGCAGGATGTTGCGCGCTCGCCGACCGCGCGAAATGCTCCGCCGGAGGCTTTCAAGCACAGTGCGCGCGCGACGCACTCGAACATTACATCCCGCAGATTTCAAACACTTACAATATGCTTCCCGCATATTTCCAATGGTCAAACGTGCTCCAAACATACCCCCGCAGATTTCAGATTCTCAACCATACTCCCTTCCTATTCAAAACTTACCCAAACATATTCTAACTATACTCCAACGCCATTTGCGAAATTTCAAACTTCCCCAAAGATGTTCCACTGCCGTCTGCGAAATTTCAAACGGGCCCACAGAAGTTCCAGTGCCATCTGCAAAATTCTAACATGCTCCAATGATATTCCAGTGCCACTTGGGAATATTTGAAATACGCCAAAGACGCGCCATTGCAATTTGCGCATTTTCAGAGCACTCCAAAGATACCCCCCGCCATTTGCGAAATTTCACAATGTTCCAGATATGCCCCCGCGGTGACCTCTCAAGCCGCAGGAGACGCTCGCCGACCAGTTGCGAAACATCAGAACACCCCAGGACAGAGCGCGTTACCATCTTCGACGGTTCCAAGTCTTCCAGGAGACGCCGCCGCGTGTTTTCTGGAACTGCCTTGAGGTGGCGTGGCCTGTCTTCGAGAACGCGAGGCTCTCGAAGTCATGCCGCCCCGTCCTACCCCCCTCGCCCGAATCGCGCCGCTGCGGCATGTGATGTTGTGGGCTCGCTGGCTGTTCAGAAGCCCTGCGTCAGGGTTGCCAAACGCGCGACGCGCACTGCTGATGCGGTGCCCTCGTGGGCTGAACAGCGTGCCGCTTTGTTGCCGAGCGCATGTCGTTCCGCGCCACAGCGGCGTCGCGGCCTCATTGTGCGTGCCGGATCCCGCTGGGGGACTTGCTCTTAACGCGCGCGCGCATCAAACGCATGGTGCGTCCTGAGCGCTCTGCGAAGCTTCCAGGCGGAAAACGGCCAAGACTTTTGCGTCCATTTTTGGATCCAGTTTTCCCGCGCACCCGCCCTCGTCCTTATTGACAAGCGTTTGTAAGTTGGGACGGGGGGGGAGGTGTGGGGGAGGGGGGCCAGTCGATTGGTCGATTGGAGGATTGTTCGATCGACCGATCAGTAAAAGGACGAGATTGCGGCTTTCCGCCAGCCCCCGCGGACCCTTATTTTTATTTTGCGGCGCTTCTCGTTTGCCACCTGGGTGCGTTGCGATCAGCGGTTGCCTCTGGATCGTCTGCGCGTTTGGACTGGCTGTTTTCTGGTGGCCCCCTTCGCGTACCCTGAGGGCGCATGCTGCGTCTGTCGCTTGTTCTCGAGGTGAGCCCACTGGCAGCGAACCGCGTGGAGCCGGCTGAGTTCGCAGCAGGGTCTGCTCGTTCTCGCGCGAACGCGAAGCCGTTGAACGTGTGCTGAATTTCTCTTGTAGCGACACAGATGTGGCCATAGTTTAGAAAAGGCGCTCTTTTCGTCTGGCGCGCAGGGCGCTATGCATTTTACGCGCGCCGAAACACGCAAGGGGGAAATCGCGAAAATAAGCCAATCCTCCAGCAGGGATCGTGGCTTTTCCCGACGTGTTTTTCGAATGTGCCCAGTTTGTAAAGTGCTGTCATAGTCAACGACAGCATATGCTTTTATTGTTTTTAAAATTTCCCTTCAGACTCGCCTGTAGGAGGACATGCCCGACATAGTGCTACTGATGCTGAGGATGGTGATGATGATGGGATTGTTGATGATAGTGATGGTGCCGATGACGATGTTGGGGATGGGGTTGATGGCAACGGCGATCATGGTTATGCTGATGGTGCTGGTGTGATGAGGAAGATTCGGATGATGACGGTGGTGAGGGCTTTGGCGATTATTATGGGTATGGTGATGGCAACGATGGTAAAATGTGATTGTGTTGCTGTCTGTGGATGGTGGTTATGTTGATGACGTTGGTGGCGGTAGTTTCGACGATGATGACACTGATAATGCTGGCGATGATGCTTGTGGAGGTGATATGGGGACGGTGATGAGGATGACCCGGAGGAGGAGGAGGACGAGGAGGAGGAGGAGGAGGAGGAACAGGAGGACGCTGCTGTTGCTGATGGTGGTGGTGGTGATCTGATGGTTGTGGTGGTTGACCCGTGGGCGACCAGTCCGCATTATTGCCGCATGCGCTTGTGCAACTAATACGAACCTCAGTGCTACAAGTACTAGTGATTCTACAGCTACTAGTCCTGCTACTACCGCTTCTCCTATCACCATCGCTGATACTACGACTACAACTTGTATGGTTACAACGATGCTACAACTTGCATTGGTACGACTACTACGACGACTGATTAATTTTGTTACTAAAACTTTCACGGTTCTCAACGGTAAGTGTTTCTATTAGTGTTCACACAGATACATCAAGTATTAAAAGTCGAACCGCTACTACTGGTACGATTACCACCATCCCCACCACGACCACCGATCACTACTACTACCACTGCCGCTACTACTGCTACTACTACTACTACTCCTACTGCTACTACTACTACTTCTACTACTACTACTACTACTGCAACTACGACTGATACTGCTACTCGTAGTGTTATTACCACTTGTAGTAGTACTACTACTACTGCTACTACTACTTTTATTCCTACTTCTACTACTACAGCTACTACTCTTACTTGTACTCGTACTCGTACCCGTACTACTACTACTTCTACTATTACTACTACTACTACTACTACTACTACTACTATTACTACTACTACTACTACTACTACGACTACATCTTTTACGACTAATACCACTACTTCTACTACTACTACTACCACTACTACTACTACTACTGCTACTACTAGTACTATTACTACGACTACACCTACGACTATCACTCCTCCTCCTCGTACTACTACTACTACTACTATTACTACTACTACTACTACTACTACTACTACTACCACTACTACTACTAAAACTACGACTACTACTGCTGCTACTACTACTACTTCTACTACTACTACTTACACTGCGGCGACGGCGACAACAACTTTTACTACTAGTGGTACGGCCACAGCTACTACTTCTACTACTGGTATCTTCATCTCTACTTCTACCACTATTACTACCACTACCGCTACAACCACTACTACTACTACTACTACTACTACTACTACTACTACTACTACTACTACTACTACTACTACTACTACTACTACCACTACTACTACTACTACTACTACTACTACGACTACACTACTTATTGACTCTACTACTACGACTACTACTACTACTACTACTGCTACTACTACGACGATCTACTGCTACGGACTACTACTACTACACTACACTACTACTAACTGCTCTACTAACTACTACTACTGTATATTACTACTAACTACTACTATTACTACTACTCTACTACTACTACTACTACTACTACACTACTCACTACTACTACTACTACTACTACTACTACTACTTCTACGACTATCGCTACTACTACTAACTATTACTACTACTACTAACTACTACTTACTGCTACTACTACTACTACTTGTACCTACGACTATTATGACCACCACCACCACCACCAACCACCACCACCACCACATACTACTACTCCTACTACTACTACAACTAAACTAATACTACCTCTACTACTATGGCTACTGCTACGACGACTACTTACTACTACTGGGTTTAGAAGTCGTATCCTAGTCGCTAGTAGTAGTAATCTTATGCCTGCTTCTATTCCCGTGCTGCTTGCTACTCACCTACACCACCACCACTACTACTACTACTCCTACTACTACTACTACTACTACTGCTACTATTACTACTGCTACTACTACTACTACTACTACTGTTAGAAGTAGTAATCCTAGTCGTAGTAGTAGTAATCTTATTCCTGCTTCTATTACCCGTGCTGCTGCTACTACTACTACTACCATTATTGTTGCGACTACTATTACTACTACTACAACTACTACTACTACTACTGCTACTACTACTACTACTACTACTACTACTACTAGTACTACTACTACTACTACTACTACTACTACTACTACTACTACTATTATGGCATACTAATACTTACTACTACTACTAGTACTACTACTACTACTACTACTACTACTCCTCCCTACTAGTACTACAACACTTCAAAACTTAGCACTAGACTACTAAGCCACTGCTGCTGCTGCTGCTATTACTACTACTACTACTGCTACGACCACTACTACGACTACTACTACTATTACTGCTACTACTACTACTACTACTACTACTACTACTACTACTACTACTACTACGACTACTACTACTACTACTCTTTCTACCGCTACTAATACAACAACTACTACTACTACTACTACTACTACTACTACTACTACTACTACTACTACTACTACTACTACTACTACTACTACTACCTACTACTACTACCTACTACTACTACTACTACTACTACTACTACTACTACTCAGCTTCTCGATCGCTTCATCAACGGGAGAGCCGTTCTCGTAGTCAATACCGATAGCTCCAGGGGTCAGCAACAGGACAAGCCGAGGCGTTGGAGGTCTGGGACAGCACACACTGCAGCAACGACGCCCGGCACCACGGGCAGCCCAGGCAGCGCCAGCAGCATCAACACCAGCACGGCAGCAGAGTCAGCGACCACGTGGTCGATTCGCCATCCTGGTGGCGCGACGTGCCGAGCAGAGACATCGAATTCAGGAATTTCGAGGCGAGCGCGCAGGCGATGGTCTTCATGTGGGCCGACGCGCGCGGGTCTTCGCCGCGCTTCGCGGCGGTCGCGCTAGTCGATGGTCAACGGAATTCCTGCGACGTGGAGCCACGCGGCGACACCATGAGGCGGAAGCGCCGCGCGTCGTCGCGCTGGGCGATCAAATGCGCCGCGGAGTCCGTCGCGCGCAGCCACTTCTCACCGCGCGCCGACTCGCAGAATGCTGGCCTCGAGTGTTTGGCCGTTGCCCTCGGATCATGTTCTTGGGGACCTCCCCTCAAGGGCCATGATCTGTTATAGTCTTCAGCGACAGCGCGGCCGCTGCTGCGCCGACGAGGAGACAGCGCTGCACCACCTTCGGAGGCACAGAAATCACCCAGGCGGCGGCGTCCTCGCGCGACGACGATGGCGCGCCGAGCGCCGGGACACCTGCCCCGCACACGTCCTCGGCACGTTCTTCTGGATCCAGCGTCCAGGCGCGAAGGTTATCCACGGCATCGCTGCCGCGCTGGCCCTGGGGGAGCTGCGCGCTATGCTGCGTGCGTTCGGCGTTCAGAACGCGACCTGGTATCGCACTCACGAGGCGACCTTCGGGGCCACACCGGCGACCTGCAGCTGTCCAGCGCCCCGGTGTCGGTCATCCTGCGTGCCCGCGAGTGGAAATGTGCCGTGTGACGCTGCCGCCGCCTGCCGTAGCGCTTGCGAGTTTGCGCGCAGTCCATATTTACTTACTTGCATGAACATGACCTTGAGAGTGGTGCAACGGTGGAGGCTGTCCATCGTTCGTCGCGGTAGGTGGGCTGGTCTGGGCCTTGCGCGTCAGGCGCACATTTCGGAATCTCGTGCCGCTCCCATCGCGGGATAGCTCTTGCCCGCGTCAGCGCGCGTCTCACGTCGCGGCGTCGGTCCGTCTCTCCGCCCATGCGCTCCCCCCCTCGTCAGCAGTGGGGGGGCGTGGGCGCGCCGGCCCTGCGCGGGCCGCCATCGCGACCCTCTTGGGCGCCGTTTGCAGCAGCGACGGCCGCGGGAGGCAGGTCCGTGCGCCCGCCCCCGCTGGCTGGTCGCGCGCCCGCGCATCGCCCGCGCCCATCGACGGGGTGCTCACCGGTCGGAAGCGGAGGCCCGGCTTGCATTGTGGTGGTCCCACGGGAGTAACCAGCGACGGGGAGTCAGAGGAGCCCCTGTTGGCGGTGACAAATGATGGGCGGTGGCCGCGGCGTTCAGCGTGGCGGGCCAAGGCCACCCGCGTCACCGCCCGACCGTCGCGCGCGCAGTGCAAGTGCGGTGAGAGCACCTGCGTGCCGGGCCCAAGCGCGACGTAAGCCTTGCTACCAGTCGGGGTCGGGGGCCCAGCCTGCATCTGTGATGATGAGGGCAGTGGGGATGAGGAGGAGGGAGGGTGGGCGGAGGTGTATGAGGAAGTGCAGAAGAAGGAGGAGGAGGAGAAGGAGGAGGAGGCTGAGGAGAAGGAGGAGGAGGAGGAGGAGGAGGAGGAGGACGAGGAGGAGCAGGAAGAGGAGGAGGAGGGGGAGGATGAGGAGGAGGAGGAGGAGGAGGAGGAGGAGGAGGAGGCTGAGGAGGAGGAGGATCAAGAGCTCACCATCCCCCACGCTGTGCAGGCCGAGCCCGGTTCCTGGGGCGAGTCGGTTGGCCTCAAGCGCGGCGACGAGCTGCTCCAGGTGCTGGCGCGGGCGGCGGCCGCGCTGCCATGCCGCGTCGCCGCTGGCCGCTCGCTGCACTCTGCGCCGTAGTCGCCGTCCTCGGCGTCACCGTCGCCGTCCCCGCCGCCGCCGCCGCCGTGGTGACCGTCGCCGCCGCCGCCGCCGTCGCCACTACAGCCGCCACCGCCGCGGTCCGTGGTCGTGGTCGTGGTCGTGGTCGTGGTCGTGGTCGTGGTCGTGGTCGTGGTTGTTGTCGTGGCCGTCGCCGTGGTCGTCGTCGTCGTCGTTGTCGTCGTCGTCGTCGTCGCCGTCGTCGTCGTCGGCGTCGGCGTCGGCGTCGGCGTCGGCGTCGTCGTCGCCATCGTTGTCGCCGTCCTCCTTCTCGAGGCGCGTTGGAAATTCGGCGTGTCTCGCTCTTGTTTGGGACTCCCGGGGGGGGGGGCGCCTCGCCGACACGGCCGGATCCGAGTCGAGATCCTGGCCAGAACGCTCTCCAAGAGAAGTCTGGAGATTTGGTGCGTCGTCTCCGCCGCCGCCCTCGTCGGTGCAGTCGCCGTCGCCGTCGCAATCGCCTTCGCCTCCGCCGCCGTCTTCGTCGTCGTCGCCCCGGACCTCCATGCGTGCACGGGCCATGCAACGGCTCGTGCTTGTCTCGAGCTTCGGCACGGCGTGCCTGCTCAGGCCCGTGCTTGAGCGGGCGCCGCATGTTGTCTCGGCAGCTCGTGCCCCGCCTCAGCCAGCCTGCGGCCTCCACCACCACCTCCCTCCACCCCCTCCGCCTCCCGCCGCGCCGCCGCGCGCCGCCCTGCCCGCAGTCGGGGCACCCACCTCTTCCCCACTCGTGCCCTGCTCCCTGCTCCGTGCCGTCCTCCGCGTGCGGCCCTTTTCCCTCCGCCTCCACCTCTGTCCACCTGTCGCTCGCCTCCTCCGCCTCCCTGCTCCTCCACTTCTGCCTCCCTACGTCTTCCACCACCACCTCCTGCCTCCTCCCCATCACCCACGGCGCCGGCGTGGCCGGGGAGTATCTAGATCTTACCCGGCGGAGGGTCAGGGCAGACGCCTCCACTCTCCACCTCTCGCTCTCTGCGAACGTCGGCTTGACGCCGTCCTGCACTGTCGTAACGTACAGTCGGACCCATGTCTAAGATCGAGGTCGGTTCGGGGATGGTGCCCTAGTGTTTCTCATGTTCGTTGGATGTTCTTGTGCATCCTGGGGACGGTCACCTTAGATGATCTGTTTGTTTTGGCCGGTGGAGGGTCTCATGTTTTTGGGGGATGTTCTTCTGGCCCAGGTCTCGCTGTACCCTCCGCGCCTCCACGTCCATCTCTTGTCTCCTGCTCTGCCTCCTCCGCCTCCTCCTCCACCTCCGCGCGGGATGCTCCCGGAAGTGTTCCGCTCCCGAAGAGCCGAGGAATCGACCTCCTCACCCCCGTCGGAGGCGGGCAGAGATGCCGCGGAAGCCGGCGGTATTCAAACGTTCATCGGTCGTTTTGAAAGTATGTGTCGAAGAAGCCTACGGCGAATCACCCCCGCCCCCTGCCTTTGTGGAAGCGCCTATGCGGCCGAACGTTGAGGCCAGACCTGCCAAGCTATCGGACCATGTGTTCCCCGAATCGGTTTGGGAAGCCTTCGGGGAACAGGTGGGCATCTTGAAGGTCATCTTGGCCGCCCGGAGGCCATTTTGACCCTTTCGGGCCTTCTTGGAGGACGTCTTGGAGGGCTCTTGGGCCGTCTTGGAGGCCATCTTGAGCGTCTTGGAGGCCTCTTCGGCCGTCTTGGGGGCCTCTTGGGGCCGTCTTGGGCATCTTGGGCGATCTTTGGGGGCACTTGGGCCGTCTCGGGCCGTGGGAAGGTCGAACACAAAGCAAATGCCACAATCCTTCAACAACTCATGGGAAATCAATGATTTTGGCCTTTTCGGGCCTTCCTGGAGGCCCTCTTGGAAGCCTCTTGGGCCGTCTTGGGCCATCTTAGTGCCATCCTCGGCCGTCTTGGTGGGCCCCTGGCCCGTCCGACGCCGTCGGACGCCGTTTGGGGGGCCTTTCTGGGCCGACTATGGGCCCTCTTGGGGTGCTCTAGGGCCGTCTTAGAGGCCATCTTGGGCGTCTTGGAGGCCTCCTGGGCCGTTCTGGGGGCCTCTTGGGGCCGTCTTAGGGGGCCTCTTGGGCCGTTCTGGGGCCATCTTGGAGGCCTCTTGTGCGATCCTTGGGCGGTCTTTGGGGGCTCTTGGGCCGAATCGGGCCGTCGGAGGGCCGAAACGAAGCAAATGTCAAAGTCCTTCGAATACCTACGGATATTGAGTGTTTTTGCCTTTTCTGGCCTTCCTGGAGGCCCTCTTGGAGGCCTCTTGGGCCGTCTTGGGCCAGCTTCGAGCCAACTTCGGCCATCTTGGTGGGCTCCTGGCCCGTCTGACGCCGTCGGACGCCGTTTGGGGGGCCTTTCTGGGCCGACAACGGGCCCTCTTGGGGTGCTCCAGGGCGGTCTTAGAGGCCATATTGGGCGTCTTGGAGGCCTCTTGGGTCGTCTTTGTGCCCTCTTGGGGCCGTCTAGGGGGCCTCTTGGGCAGTCCCGAGGCCATCTTGGAGGCCTCTTGGGCGCTGTGGGGGCGATCTTGGGGGCCTATTGGGCCGTTTTGGGTCGTCGGACAGCCGAGAAGAAGCGAATGCGAAAATCCTTCAAGAACCAAAGGCAAACCAATGCTTTTGGCCTCTTCGGGCCTCCTGGAGGACCTCTTGGAGGCCTCTTGGGCCGTCTTGGAGGCCTGTGGGGGGCCTCTTGGGCCGTCTTCGGCCGTCTTGGACTCTCTTGGGCCGTATGGGAGGCCGTCTTGGACCATCTTGGGCGGACTTGGAGGCCATCTTGGACCATCTTGGAGGCCATCTTGGGCCAACGTGGCCATCTTGGAGACCATCTTGGACCATCTTGAGCGAAACATTGGGGGAATTGCGGGCCTTCCGGGTGGCTGGCGGGACGGGCCGAAGCCCCAGGGGGAGTTCTTTTGGAAAAAGAACCAAACCGAAAGGACTAGCTCGCCAGGCACCCCTGCGATGAATCGACAGGGGGCTGCGGATCGAATGGCTTTCGGCCCATCCGGCCACCGTGCATGGGTCGTAGATGTATTTGGAGGGCTCTTGCAGGTCTCTTTTCGGCCTCTGGGGGTATTCTGGGGGTGTTTCAAGTACCTCTTGGGGGCATCTCGGGGCCTCTTTGGGGCTTCTTGGGGCCTTGCTGACGGTCTCGAGGGTCATCTTGAGGCGGAGGGCTCGAAATGTCAGTTCGTGTTCCCTCTTTGGGCCACTCTTAGGATCTTCTTGTGGCCGTCTTGGCTTGTCTTGGGGGCCTCCTGGACCATTTTGAGGCCTTCAGTGCCATCGTGGAGCTGTCTTTCGGGGCAATCGAGCCCTCTTGGGGCGATATTAGAAGTCTGTTGTCTGTTCTCGAAAAGGTAAGTAAATTTGGGAGTATCGATGACTTGGGCTTTTTGGGCCGCTCTTGGGCGGTCTCTTGAAGCCTTCTTTGAATGTGTTTTGGCGTGTCTGGGGCCTCTTGTGCCGTCGTGAGTCCGTCGTTGCGTGGGTTGTCGTTAGGCCCCCATGGGCCGTCGCGGAGCTCTCTAGGACCGTCTTGGGCGCGTCTCGGGAGATTCTTGCTGGTTCGTCGGGTCGTTCTGGGCGAGTCCACCGTCCTGGAGGCCAAGGTACGGTGTCGGACTGTCTTTGTCGGATTGTCTTGGTTCCCAGACTTCGATCTATTTTAGGCGTGGTTTTTCCTCTTCCTTCGTCTTCAGGGCGCTGGCGAAGATCCAATCTACTTCAACGCCATCCTATTTCATGTTTCTGCCCACTTCCTCCGATCGATGTGTACAGGCGACCTCGCAGCTGGAAGTCGGCGCAAGTAGAGACGCACCCCCCAAGAGAGGTCAACGCCAGCAGGCCGTTTCAGGAGTCGGCCACCTCGGGCTACCCCATTGGGCGTAATAGCCATTTGGGCCCATGCCTGACGCAGGGGGCTTAGTGCCCCCGAGACGGGTCGCCTTCTCTGGACGGGGGGTATCAATTCTACAGTCTATCCGTTCGCCGCTTGGATTGAGAGGGCTTCGCTCGCAGCCCCTGGGGCACCCCAATACTTCAATACTACCGACGCCGTGATTTTTGAGCCCGCGGGCCCCGGGAGCTCTCGACTTCCTTTTTGGGGGGCATCGTTTTTGGCGGAACCGGACCCCCCAACAAGGCCGACATCGAGGAAGACCGGCCGTCTCTCGATTCTTCGGCGTGACGAGAGGATCTGAGGCCTCCAGGAGGCCCCTGAAGAGGTCACCCACGGAAGGTTCGCATCGTGTCGACCGGCGGTGACCGCGCGGCCCGCGTTCAACGTTGAACGCCGCCGGCGACCCAGAATCGGTCGATGTTGCGCGATCTGACGTTTCAGAAAAGGTCAATTGTTCAAGGTTGAACGATCCCCGCGGTGTCAGGAACCAACGCCTGGGTCGTCACGACACGAACCTTCCTTGTGTCCCCAGAGGTCCCCGAACCCTTCTCGCAAGCTCTCGGAGGCCCAGAAAAAGCCAGAGACGTCCACCCACAAAACCAATCCGCGAACCTGGAGGATCGAGGCTCGAACCGTGGGCTACTTTTAAGTCGGGCCTGTCCGTCTACAGGAGGAATAGCCCCAAATCGTCAAAGAATAGTTAGGGGACGATTTTCAATTTTATTTTTCCTATTTTCCAATATGTTTTGACTACTTTTTAATTTTCGCCCCAAATCCGCCGGTAGGAGGACGTGCCCGACCTAAGGCTACCTGGAGGCCCATCCTGGGGGGGGGTCCTCCGTCCGACCCCGGCGGGGGGCCTGCCTCCTCGGACCGCGGGGGCGGTGGCCTTGCCGTCGTACTCCGCCGTCGTCGACGACGAGGACCGTCGTCGTCGTCGTCGTCGTCGTCGTCGTCGTCGTCGTCGTCGTCGTCGTCGTCGTCGTCGTCGTCGTCGTCGTCGTGCTCGTTTGCTGTAGTGGTCGCTGAAGTCGACGGCGGCCGCCGCTGCTGTGCTGACGACTGCGCCACCCCCGAAGGCACATTCTCGGTCGGGAGTACTTCCTAGGCACCTCGACCGTCGTCGTCGACGCCGCTGCCGCCGCCACCGTCGTCGTCGTCGTCGTCGTCGTCGTCGTCGTCGTCGTCGTCGTCGTCGTCGTCGCCGCCGCCGCCGCCGCCGCCGCCGCCGCCGCCGCCGCCGCCGCCGCCGCCGTCGCCGACCGCGGGGCAGCCGAGAGGTCAACGACGCGCCGCCCCCGCAGCTGGGCACCAGCGAGTTCGAGCTCGCCCTCGGCGAGCGGCCGCTCGTGCGCGCCCCGGCGCGCGCGCGCGCAGCGCCGCCGCCGCCCTGTCGACGACGGCCGCCAGCGCCGTTCTGGCCGCCCGCAGCGCCTGCTCCTCGTCCTCCTCTTCTTCCTCCTCCTCCTCTTCCTTCTCCTCCTCCTCCTCCTCCCCCTCCTCCTAGCCCTTTCGCCCAGCTTGGGGCTGGGGTCGCGCGGCGCACTTCGGAGGGGCGCCTGCCGCGCGGGGCCATGGCGGCCGTCGAGGCATGAGGCTCCACGTGGCGAGCTCGCTTTTCGTTGAGGGCGGCATTGGCCAGATCCTCGGCCGTCTCGAGCAGCAGTACGTGGAGGCGGGAGGCCAGTCAGACATCGTCGTGGTCTTCGAGTGCGATGGAGAGCGCGGCGTGTCGCAATCGTGCCCAGCAGACGCGTCGCGAGGAGACGACGGCCTCGCGAGCGAAAACCAGGCAGCTGGCGCCAGCGAAGGCCAGGCCTCCTGCACCGAGGGCCCGTCGGGTGCCCTGGCAAAAGGGCCTTTCAGCCAGAGGACGTGAAGGCTTACGAGGCGAAGATGCTGCAGGTGTTCCTGGCCAGGGAACGCTTCATGGCCGACAAGCTGGCTGGCAAGCGCCAGGAGGAGAAGAAGGATAACCCGGGGGAGGCGGTGCACATCAAGATATGGCAGTGCCCAAACTGTGGAGCGAAGAACTTCGGCTTCAGGGAGAGTTGCATGTACAAGGACTGCAACCACAAAGCGCCCGAGACCACGCTGCAGCTGCAGAGGCTTCAGAAGCTTCAGAAGGTGAAGGTCCAGTCGGACACGTCCTACATGACCCTGGGGGACCTGGACGCGGCGCTTCGCTCTCGCGGGCTAGTGTGCATCGACGAGGAGTTCGACAGGTTGCAACAGGAAACAGCGGCATACGCATGGTCGGAATGGGGGATCGATCTCGTGCTCCCCTCGGCGGAGTGCCACCCGAAGGAGATGACGGAGAAGGAGAACCCCCTGCTGGAGGAGAAGGAGGAGGAGAAGCAGCCGCCCAAGAAGACGGACCGCTGGAGCAAGCACCACACCCCATCAGCCTGAACGTGCAGGCCGACACCGAGGACTACCAGAGCCTGGACAGGACGTTCGCGGCATGGCGTCGCGTGGCAGCTAGACTAGGCGAAGACTGGCAGTCAGAAGACGACTATGGCGACGCAGTTGTGCACGCAGATGGCGGAGAAGGTGGAGTAAGCGGTCGTCAATCACATGCTGTGCAGTCCGTCACGGACGTTGGGCAGAAGGACCTCAGGCCGAATCCTGGGGAAGGTGGTGCCGAGCTGATCGATAGCGATAGGGGCATGGGCCTGCCGCCGATCCCGAGCCTCCCGCAGCTCGTGATGCCAGAGGTGTTCGGCATCGCCGACGGCGACGACGAGGAGTGGGCCGAGAAGAGCGAGAGATGCTCCGTGGCCTGATCAGACTTGGGGGTCTCTGGTATAGAAGAGTTGCTAGGCTTCGACGTGCAGGCCCAGCAGCTGACCGACGAGCAGCCAGACGACAAGCAGCAGGAGGACAAGCAGGAGGAGGAGGATGAGATCAGCCCCGCCACGGATGAGGAGTTCCAGGCGCTGGCCGACATGTACCTCGAGGGCACCGATCGCGACGGGAGCGAGTTCAGGGCTCGCTTCCAGATGCTTTGCGAGCGCCTCGGCATCAAGAGTGACCTCGAGGCATTCTTCCAGGTCTTCTGCAACTACCTCGAGGCATAGGTGGTCGTCAGCACGTACCTGGAGTGCCGCCTCCAGGAAGCGCATAAGGCCTGAGGGGGTGCGCGGCTCGGCGGCGGTCGGGGCTCACTCTCGTGACCTCGTCGGATTCGCCTTGGCTCTGGTGTGGGCCCCCCTCGTCGCTGCGGCTGGATCCGCCTCGGGCCCGTGGGGCCGTTTTGTTTTTTTTCGGGCGCGGGTCTCCCTGTGCTCCCTCGTCGCCTCGTCGGATGCGGTTCGTTTTGCGGCTGGGCTCATCGGAGCTCAGCCCCTGGTGGCTTTGGCCACGTCTCGGCTAGGTGCCAGAGGCCCCTGGACGGGCCTGCGTCATCAGTCCCCTCAGTCCCCTCCCCCTCCTCCTCCTCCTCCTCCTCCTCCTCCTCCTCCCTCCTTCCCATTTTCCTCCTGATCTTCCTCTCCTCTTCCTCTCGTCCTCCTCCTCCTCCTCCTCCTCCTCCTCCTCCTCCTCCTCCTCCTCCTCCTCCTCCCCCTCCCCCTTCTCCCCCCGCTGTGCGTCGCTCTCCCGCCCCCCCGGGGCGACGCGCGCACCGGGAAATCTGACAGTGTCTGCGTCGTGGCGGGCGCTTTCTGGCCACGCCGCTCGGGCAACGGCGTGCTACAAGATGGGTCTGTTGTATGTTCGGGCCAGACGCGCGCCTCCAAGGAGGACGCGCAGTAAGGCTGGGCAGCCTTCCCAAGGGTACCCTTGCATCCTTGCCCCCTTGAGCCATCGTTGGCGACCCTCGCTGGCCAAACTCCCTCGAAAAAACGTTAACGTGACCCTCCAAGGGCCTTGCACCCTTACCGCGCATCGTTACGATACGGGCCGACTGTATAGGGCCTCCTCCTAATCTTCCTCCTCCTCCTCCTCCTCGTCCTCGTCCTCCTCCTCCTCCTCCTCCTCCTCCTCCCCTTCCTCCCCCTCCTCCCCCTCCTCCTTCCCATCTTCCTCCTTCCTCAGCGGAATGCCCTTGCATTCTTACCGCGCATCCCTATCACACGGGTTGACTGCGTGTTTCTGTGCGCCCCAATCGCAGCCGCCACCACCCACGGGGCGCGGCGGGGCGCGGCGCGAGCAGCTCGTGGGTTCCGCCTGGGTGGCCTGGTCGGCTGCGGCTCGGCCGCGGGGTCGGCCCTCCCCTCCCCCGAACAAAGATTGCCCGGGGCGACGGACGAAGGAAGGGGGCCAGCAGAGGAGCAAGCCAGGAAGACAATTATCGGGTTGGCAGGATGGGGTTGGGAGAAATTCGGATATCCCTACCCGTAGGCGGCCGAAGGCATCGTTCATTGCATCCGGATGCTATTGCTCCTGCCCTTTATCCTTCCAGCCCTTCCTCCCAACATGATAATTGTTCTCCTCATCAAGAGGGCATGATAATGGCACGTTCCAAGCTCTCCCAGATTTCCAAGGCATTCCAGGCTTCCGACTTTTGGACTGCGGCTGTAGTGGGCCGTGCACCGTCGGTGCCATGGCTGATGTTTGCTTCGTTTTGCTTGCCTTGTTTTGCCCCGCGCTGCGCCACACACAGTACATTAACTTGCTGTTTGGGGTGCTCGCTAGAATCCTGCGGCTTTGTGGCCGTACTGTCCCCGGAAGGCGCGTATGCCTGGATCTCCTCGTGGGGGTCCCCGAATTTCCTTTCGCACGTGCTGAGGCAGAACCTCGACGGATACAAAACGCTTCGTTCCTCAGCGGCTGAAGGCTCCCTACAGACAGCACGACTCGGACTGGCACACCTCGGCACGGATGCGGCGTCTTTCGGGGAGTCTTCCAGGGACCCTCAGTCTTTTTGGCAGCTGTCGGTGGGCCCCTGACGCTTGTTGTTGTTGAGGTGCGCTTTTGCCGGAAGTACCCGGGAGGTTTCTGCGGAGGAGGTGCCTCCATCCCCTCCCCTCCCCGAGTACCTCGTGACTCCTCCTCCCCTTCCGACCCCGTGCGTCCCTCCTCCCCCAGTCCCTCCTCCCCCTCCATCCCCCTCATTCCACACCCCCGCTTCTGCCTCTGCTTCCTCTTGGCTTCCTTCTGCCTCTCCTTTCTCTTCTGTCTCCTCTGTTCTCCCTCTGTCCCCTCCTCCCTCCCTTCGTGCTTTCCTCTGTCCCTCGCTGTGCAGCGCGCACGTGTTTCTGCGGGTCCTGGGATCGAGGCGGCCCGGTGCTTCGCGGTGATTCAGCACCCTTCCCCACCCCCGCCCCCTCCCCGCACCGCCCCGAAGCAGGCCCGCGGCCTCCCCGGCTCTGGATTTTCTTTTTTGTTTGATATTTTTGTTGTTTTGTCTTGTTTGTTGTTGTTGCTGTTGTTGCTGTTGTTGCTGTTGTCGTTGTTGTTGTTGTTGTTGTTGTTGTTGTTGTTGTTGTTGCTGTTGTTGTTGTCGTTGTCGTTGTCGTTGTCGTTGTCGTTGTCGTTGTTGTTGTTGTTGTTGTTGTTGTTGTTGTTGTTGTTGTTGTTGTTGTTGTTGTTGGTGTGTTGTTGTTGTTGTTGTTGCTGTTGTCGTTGTCGTTGTGGTTGTGGTTGTGGTTGTGGTTGTGGTTGTGGTTGTGGTTGTGGTTGTTGTTGTTGTTGTTGTTGTTGTTGTTGTTGTTGTTGTTGTTGTTGTTGTTGTTGTTGTTTTGTTTCCGCTGGGATCTAGGCCTCCTAGATGGGGTCGGAGTAGATGGGGTCGGAGGATCGCGCCGCATCGCCTATACATCGCCGATGCGGCTCGATGTGCAGCCCGATTTGCGTCACGGCGACGTCGCCGATGCATCGCCAACGTCGACGATGTATCGCTGGTGCATCGCCGATGCATCGCCGATGCATCGACGATGTATCGCCGATGTATCGGCGATTCGGCGCGATCCTCCGACCTCATCTACTCCGACCCCATCTAGGAGGCCTCTATGGGAGCGCTGGCCAGCGCCGCCCGTCCGGCGGCGCGGGTTCCCCGCCTCTGCGCGCCTCCCGCCGCGCGCGCGGCCGTGCGGTGGGCGCCCCCGGCGCGGCTCCGGGCAGCGCCCGCCCGCGCTCTTTCGCGCGGGCGGCGCCAGCTTCCAGTGGGGCACGTCCCTCTGCAGGAGGACCTTTCAAAGGTAGCAAAGCAAAACAGTGTGGGGGGGCGAGGTTTCGATCCTTTTTTGGCTGCCCTCGAAGCCTTGTTTTGGGCAATCTTCTATCTGTCTTCCAACATCCGCCTGTAGGAGGACATGCCCCACCTACCGCTAGCTTTTGCTGAGGGGGGGGTGCTCAAGGTGTCCCTGGCCCAGGGTGTCCCCCGCTTTCCGCTCAATCCTGGAGC